TCGTTACAATAACCTATCATTTTGATTTCATAACATTTTTGTATGTTGTTTCTTGTCTTTGTGATAATAACGTATGGTTATAATATTTAGTCGACATAATTGAATTTCTATTTAATTATTGAGCAGACGCCAACACCGTTGWSGTGATATGAATCACAGTGGTAGGTACAATTATTATCACATTGTTGTTACTATTTTAATCTATGAACGTTTGTATAATATTTCATACATTATAATTTAGATTATGTATTTATGTTAATAATACATCGCGTTCACACTCTCTCCGTAGTTCGTACACTTACAAAACAATAATATCAACAACAATAATAATTCACTGTAGCAAAGTACATGAAGTTATATTATTCCGTATCCATAAAATAACTGTAATTCTCGTAAAGAGATATCTCACTGCACAAGTGCAGCCAAATTCGTATGTATATAATTATGACGCTCAGACTCGAATATTATTAACATTATACAATTTTTGTTGACTGTTATAGTAGGTATGTATAAAAAAAAAGTGTCCAAAAATTATTTTAATCGTTTACACTAGGTTTGACCGGTAATCATCTTCGATGCGTTCTAAATGAGTGCTCAAAAATTCATCCACTGTATCGGTGTCCCATCGTTCGATTGCCAAAACCTATAAATTAAACATTGTGCTAGTACAGGTACTTTCATAAAAATACGTTAATCAGTGTCAGCCTGACAATTAAAGGGCCCAGGATGCATTTCTTCAGAAGGGCCCCAAAAATGTTATTTCATAAAGTGATAAAAAAAAAATGCTTAAAAGTAATTAAATATTATATTTTAACGTTTTTAGTAATATCGGGACCTCTCGACACAAATACGTCCATGTGGTTTAGTGTAGTGATGCCCATTCACAAAAAGGTAAAATTATTACACGACATTACGATTTTTATTAATTTATTATGAATTATTTTAAACATTCTAAAAATATAAAGATAATAGTGATAATACCAAAAATAATAATAAAAATAAAAAACATGTAAAAATGTTTTACACTTATTTTTAATGTGAAATTTGAGCTTGTGTTTCGTTTACTAATAGCGAAAAGTCTGATAAGAATTTTGTAGTTCCAACCCTCAAAATTAAATGAAAGTGTTCATCCATAAGTTACGATCTAAGAACTGATTTTATTTGTTTCATCGCTGAAAATTATGTTCATATATATACGTCGAGCAAAATACAGTTATTATTTTCATCATAATGTAGCTCAAAGCAGGGAAATCTTCGAGTGTAAGTTTTAAATAAAATTTWTTTTTATTTTTTGAAATTGATCACAGTAAAATGAATATGTTTTCAATTCAATAAGTTTAATTTGAAAAGAAATGTTGACATCAATTTCATCAATATTGAATGGRTTTTCAAATAAACGCAACGATTTTTCGTGTAATTTAACATCCGAAAATAGAAATGGAATTTTGGTTTGCAATTTGTTTAACATTAATTATTAATTATTTTTTAACTATTAATTATTATTATTATTATTATTTATTTGTTTAACTTGTTTACCTATCTATAAATCGATTTATTGAACATTATAATTTTGTTTTATTCTTAAATATTTGGCTGTTCTCAAAATTACTGAAATCACTGTGCAATATGGTAATATTTATGTGTTACAAAATAATATTATTAAGTTTTAATGATTTTAAGAGGATGTCAACACACTATTTGTTTTCTCTCTCTGGCCCACGCTCAACATAGACAAACCRCAATAACATAGAGTTGTTTTTCTATATTTTTAGATTATCTTAGAGTAAATCACCCATTACAAAATAAAAAATAGAGAATAATATTATTGAGGGAATGATATATCAATATATCAATTTGTCTAAACATTGTTTCAAAACAATTTAAATACCATTTAAATTTACAAAATTTTTTTTTTTAAGTCGAATACAAAATCAAATAACAAAAATATGATATAAATATGTCATTTTTTCAAAAATATTATTATCTATCTTTTTTGTAATGGATGATTTTACTCAGGGGCGTCATTTCACATTTTTTCATGGGATGCAAAACCAATATTAAAGGTTAGCGAGCATGATTGTGTACCATTTTATTATTTGTTTCACAGAGTATATAATATTATAAATTATAATAATCTGGATAAATTATACATGTGATCAATATTATATTATTATTATGTTATATTTTTATACGTAGTGGTGCTCCACAAAATATTGTGATAAATCAAAAAAAAAATACCAACATTATTGTTATTTGTTTTATACTATGATTCTATGAAAGGATCTACACAAAAGTGTGTTAAAAAAAAATTCATGGGATGCATTTGCACACCCCTGCATCCCGCAAATAACGTCACTGATTTTACTTTAAGATTTCTTAAAAACACAGGAAAAACGATTCTACGTAAATGCGTTTTGTTTAAGTTGAGTGTGGACCAGAGAGAGAAAACAAAGTGTGTGCTGATATCCTCTTAAAGATTTTATACCTCTTGCACATTTCCATTGCTGTCCATGAGTTTAATTAGTGGATCCAATCCACGTACATATCTGATTGTTAAGTTAGGGTACTTGTTGGGACGATCACTTTTTATAAATGCTAAAACAATAAAAATTACAAATTTATATCATTTTTACGGTAAGTGCTTCATTATTATTATATAGTAATTAATTATTTACATTGTATAACATTTGAAAATAAGCCATCAATAAAAATCTTGTTATTAAAAAAAATGTCTTATTTTTGTTGTTCTACTTATATATAAAATAACTAAGAAGTAAGAGTTTACATTTTAAACTATGATCATTTTATACTTGAATACAATACAATTAAATTATTATTGCTAAAAGATGCGAATCATGGCAGTGCTGCACATGGCACACAAAAGTGTTATGGACAGCAACCACAAAACTAAGCTGTTAGACCACCCCTCAAAAAAAATAAAAAATATGTTTAAAAATTATTGATCATATTTCAACAAAGCTCCCACTTCCWTTTTTTGGAAAGAAAGATTTAAGCAACCCTAAAATTCAATCATATCCTTTACTATGTAACTACAATCAACAAAGAACAAGTCATGAAAACTTAACAATGAGAATATGAGCCTAACGATAAATTGAAAATATAACAATAGAGACTTCAAACATTATGCTGTACAAGCATTACAAAATGATAGGTATAAATGTATAATGATATATGACACAGAATTAAATATTAATTGTTATAATATGGCAATATCATAAAAGACACATAATAGTATAGACCTAAAGCTCATATTTCATAAATAACACAAAAATTTAAAATTATAACTCAAAATATGAGGAGTATATTACCTAGTGAGAATGAATTTATATATTTTTTTTTTGATAGAAACGCGTGTCATATCATAATCGTCTCATAATAATTGTTGTGTATTAAAATAAAGTTTCACATTCACATCAACTAACTTTTTTTGATTTCCTTACCTACATCTTTACAAAAACAATAATTGTTCATTCTCTTAAAAATATATGTCAAAGTAGTTTCATTTCATCACTAGTCCAGTATAT